TATAAAAAAAAAAAAGGATATACGGATATATCCATTGACATGGGAAGGTGCTAACACCACACTGTTGAATGAAAATGGTAGGCAACCAAAGAACATATATTATACATTACCACTTTTTGTAAAATACATGTAAAACAAAGGAGAAATCCATATATGAAGAGAAAAAGAACATGAAGCATATACAATGTTTACAGTGATCATGGGGGTGGAGAGAGGAGTGTTATCAGTAAGTTTCTATTGCAGAGTTTTTTCCTTTTGGTTTATTCATATTGGAGGATTTTTCAACAATTATGGATTATTTGCATCGTAAAGTATATTTCTTTAAAAAAATATCAGTAAGCAAGCTAGCTAAAATAGTGACTAGAAGTGAGCCTTGCGAACTGGAGTGAAGAGCATCTGCCCTGGGGACCCACCTGGCCTGGATCAGCCACAGACAGAGACTGAATCGCCCTTCCCTGGAGTCAGAGCCCACTCACTTCTATTTTTCACCAACAACTGTCCGAGATGTGTCCTCGATATTTTTCACTGCACGTATCCTCCCCAGGACCCTGGAAATCTCAAGGAAGGAAACTGAGACTCGGGGAGGTAAGGTGACCTGCCCGAGGGGGAAAGCGGCACAGAGGCAGGGAGGTGGGAACCAGGGCCCAGGCGGCGGCCAGGAGAACACACGCTTCCCCTCTCCCGCAGGGGTCTCGGGCCCTTCAGAAGTGCGTTCCACGGACCACACCGCCCCCGCCCCAACTCCCAACAGGACGAGCTCTTTCTGGCGGAACCTCAGAGCCTAGACACCGCTTTCTCCTCAACAGCGGCCCTGCCGGCAGCACTCACGAAAGCACTGGCTGTCTCATGGAACACCACCGCCTTCCGCAGGCCCAGGAGGAAAACAAACAGTCCCTTGCACAAATGACGAGCAATTGCCAAGGTGAATGCTGACTCAAACACGGATCTGGCACAGAGCTGCCCACTCCCAGGGTGTGCACGAAAGGGGAAACTCTGCCGGTGTCCCCAGAAGGAAGGGCCACCTCCGCCTCTCTGTCAAGACACACTCGGCGAACGTCAAGGCCGCCAGCCCATCTGTGGCTGGCCTCTGTGGGCTCCATCCACAGGGAAGAGAAAGAGCGTCATTATATTTTCATCCTAAGAGGAGTCCAACTTTGCTCTTTCTCTTTCTTGCTCTTTCCACAGGGACGCGCCGCGGCCCCCACCCAGCACTGCAGGGCACGCGGAAGCGGGTAGGGGTGGGAAACGCGCATGGGGAGGGGGCGGCGTGCGCAGGGTCACAGCCTCCCACACAGGAGGACCTCGTCACACCCAGCCATAGATGTCAGCTGACAGTGCCTGCCCTGACAAGAAGTTTCGGTTTCCTGTGAAACCCCCCGTCTCAGTGCTTTGGGTTTCTAGATGCCGGAACAAATAATGTGCATAAACAAATACAAACAGTAATGACATAAACACTTATTAATATGTCTTCGTTTCTACTCTGGAGCAGTGGATGTGCGGCCTGTGTGGAGAGTGCAGGCAGGCCTTTGCTTGCCTTTTCCTCCCATCAAAACCGGAAGATGGAGGAAATGTGGCTTCTCCGTCCTCATTCCCTGGAAACCTGATGTCTGATAGCTAGGCAGATACAACACCCACTCTTTCAGCCTGTCACACTGGAACGCTGGTGAGGCAAAGAGAAAACACCAAAGGCAGCATGAGGCAAAGGAGGCCAAAATGCTCACAAGAAAGGGTTGTGACGAGCTTTAAACCACACTGAGCTTCCTTCCTGTCAAGGCCAGGGCGCCAGCCGGTCATAGTCTTCTTATCACTGATACACAGGAACAGCTTCCAGTACAACACTCCTCCCCACCCCCGCCACACCCTGGGATTAATTTCAGAATATTACGGGGGTACAAATGCTTTGGTTACATATATTGCCATTGCACCACCCAAGTCAGAGCTACAAGTGTGCCCATCCCCCAGACAGCACGCACCACACCCGTTAGGTGTGAATTTACCCATCCCCTCCTGCCTGCCCAACACCCAAAGAAGGTTACTTCCATATGTGCACACAAGTGTTGATCAATTTGTTTTTTAAATTGCTTACTTAAAAATATTATAATATTAAAATTTACATTTTTTTATGTAGAGACAGGGGTCTCGCTCTTACTCAGGCTGGTCTCGAACTCTACCTCAAGCGATCCTCCCACCTCAGTCTCCCAGAGTGCTAGGATTACAGGCGTGAGCCACCACGCCTGGCCAATCAGTACCAGTTTGATGGTGAGTTCATGTGGTGCTGTTTTTCCATTCTTGTGATACTTCACTTGGAAGAATGGGCTCCAGCTCCATCTAGCATAGTACAAGAGGTAGTTCACCATTCCTTTTTTTAT